GTCTGAATCTGATTGGGGCTGAGGCAGTACAGTATTGGGGGTCATGAAGGCTTGCAAAAAATTTAATAAAATTTCCAGAGCCGTATTTAAAAAATGAAGTTGATAATGGTCCTGGCGAGACGAAGAGCTACATATAAAAATTGATTATACCATCCGATAGAGGGCAAAAATTGTCATGAGAAAGTGTCCTTCTTTTTGCAAAATCACCTCAAACGAGGCTGAAATGAAACAAAATCGGGTTTCGAAAATTTCGTTTTTTTTTTCAATATTTCGAAAACTAAATCATGACTGATTTTTTAGAGGCATAATGTTGATCCCCTGATTACGCAACTTTGCCCCCATTTAAGNTATTAAGATAAAGAGCTCATATTTGGAGAGAATTTTCTAGAGGTGTCTAGCAACCTATTTTTCAGAGTATAAAGTAAAAAAAAATAGTCAATTTTTTTGACCCACCCTAATATACAGGGTGTTATAAATTTGCTTTCACTACAGGAATCTTGAAAACGGTAAGAGATACGAACTAGCTTAAATGGGGGCAAAGTTGCGTAATCAGGGGACCAACATTATGCCTCTAAAAAATCAAGGCTAACATGATTAATTTTCGAAATATTTGAAACGGAATTTTGGATATTTTATTTCAGTCTCATTCGAGGTGATATGGAAAAAGAAGTACATTTTCTCATGGGAACTTTTTGCCCTCTATCGAATGGCGTAGTCAATTTTAATATGTAACGTTTCATCTTTCTTGAATTATCACACTGTAAGTGTCGTTAGACCCTGTGAGATCCAACTAGTTACTTAAACTATTAGCGTCATCTAAATAAAAAATTTAGATGAAAGAACGAATACACTGAAGATGAATTTTTTTCGAGACAAAACGTCTAAATCTGACTGGGGCTGAGGCAGTACAGTATTGGGGGTCATGAAGACTTGCAAAAAATTTAATAAAATTTACAGAGCCGTATTTAAAAAATGAAGTTGATAATGGTCCTGGCGAGACAAAGAGCTACATATAAAAATTGATTATACCATCCGATAGAGGGCAAAAATTGTCATGAGAAAGTGTCCTTCTTTTTGCAAAATCACCTCAAACGAGGCTGAAATGAAACAAAATCGGGTTTCGAAAATTTCGTTTTTTTTTTCAATATTTCGAAAACTAAATCATGACTGATTTTTTAGAGGCATAATGTTGATCCCCTGATTACGCAACTTTGCCCCCATTTAAGCTAGTTCGTATCTCTTACCGTTTCCGAGATCAATGTAGTGGGAAGCGAATTTGTAACAGCCTGTATAATTAATAGTTTTTTTTGCAACAATATTAGGAATAAAAGAACTAAAGCAAAATATATGTGCATTATTTTTTTATATAGGGAACTATTGAGACTGCTGTGGTATTTACACATTGAGAGTTAAAGGGTGATTCAGTCATAATGTCATTAATTGTAAGTAAAGACAAGAAAAAATAAGTAGAATATGAAAACATAATTAAAAACATTTTAAAATGCATATTTATGCTGAAAAAATACTTTCAAATAATTTTCAATATTTCAAAAATACCCACCACATATTGGGTCATTAACCTAGCTTTTGATGCGTTTTTAATCTGTAGTGAACTACAACGAATAAACATGTTCTTATCTAGACACGTGAATGAATAAGATGCTTTTTTACATTTTAAATATTAACAAGTATTTATTTGTTAATAAAAACAAATTTATAATGATAATTGTTTTCGAATTTCGTTATTACAATTTAGTATTTTTATTATTGTTAACGTTTTCACTGTCTTATAATTGAATATGAGTCTTTAGCTCCCTTCTCTTCAGAGTAGTATGGTACCTACGTATTTAAAATGCCAGTACAGGTAAAACGACACATATCTGTCCATAGCACTCTGTTAATAAAGCTGTGATTCGCTGCATTTTGATTTTGAAACTAATTGCAAAATTCAAGACGACTGAGGAAATCGGCTGTTTCGCTTCAACGTTCGTTCGAACGGTCCGTGGTCTGCTGGCTCGTTTCCGGTCAAAATGTGCGCTGCGAAGTGGGGTGCCGAATTAGCAGGAGTTAAGGGGTCGAGTAAAATTTTTTTTCGAATTTGTTTTTATTAGGTCTTCCGAATACGTGGTTGAAATTAATGACATGACTGAATCACCCCGTATAGACGTTTAAATTGTAACTAAGAAATCCGGCTCATTTAGCTGATTCGGTTCCTTGTAGTCATTACACATGACAGCTGTCCCATAGTACGCGTGCCATGCCATGGGTCCTGTGAATACGCCTATCTATAGTAGGGAGCTCTATCTGGGTGGCTGTTTCAGGAAGGCACACTATATTTTTCTCTAAAACTTTATTTTTCCATAAAGCCAAAAATCTTAACGCTTCTTTTTCGTACATAATATAACACATAACCTCTCTTCCTAACTAACCATTTAAGCCTAAGATAAGACGTAAGAACTAAGAACCACAGCATATAAAACAATCAGCAGACTAGGTTTCGGGCGGCATTTTTGATCTATTGAAGTTGCGGTGGTGTCCTGTTACCACCCACCCAGACTACCACTACTTGACAATGACTTAGACAAAATCCTTTCCTGGCCCCAGACAATTGCCATCGGGGACTTCAACGCGAAGTCCCCCATATGGCACAGCGGGACGACGACCACAAGAGGTCGCGTCCTGCTGAATTACCAAGACAGACACGACGACTTGACTATACTCGGACCGACAGAACCGACACATTACGGACCCGTAGGACGCCCCGACGTTATCGACATTGCCCTCTTAAAATCTATACCGTTAAATGCCCAAATATCCACCCAATACGAAGGGTCTTCCGCCCACAATCCAATATTTCTGGATCTGGGGCGAAGACAGAGATATGAAGGCACCTTCACGAGGAGGTTCACTGACTGGGAGCGTTTCCGAACAGTAATGCAAGGAAACATGGCGCTCCCAGTCATCGAAACCACCCATGATCTGGAGGCGGCAATCCTCTCCCTTGAGACTGACATTAAAAACGCCCTGACTCAGACTACGACGGAGACTATTGTCCCCCGACTGACAAACCCCCGGGGCACCCTCCCCGATGACATAAAAAACTTAATACGTGACAGACGACGTGCG